TTTTTTGGCTTTTACAGATTCTTGTAGTGTTTTTTTTTTTTTTTTTTTTTTTTACTTTCTTTTAACTTTTTTTAAACTTATCTAAAAGTATTTTAAATTTTATATTAGTTTATATTAAAATTTATCTATTTTTATTAAAGTGTGAACAGAGCTCACAAAAGAGTAAATAAGTTACTGATTTTTTTATTGGTAAAATGGTTTCAAATTATTTGTGCTTTTCAAAATTTGAATTAAAAAATTGATAAGAAACAATTTTATTTTAAGTTTTTTAAAACTCATCTACAGAAGAATCTGAATTAGAAAACTCTGGTTCTTGTACAAATGACTCTTCATCTGACATATTTATTGATTCGTCAGATTCATCTGAAATATTTTCTTTAAGCAAAATTTGTTGTTGTGTTGCACACATATCCATTGCTTCAAGTTTTAGAATTTGCTATACTAACACAAATTTTGCTGCTCCTATATTTGTTAATCTGTTTCTTTGACACTGTGAATATTTGCATAACTGCTGAAACCTCTTTTGCAAGCTGCACTTGTAGCAGGAAGCTGAAGAATTTTTGCTGCTACTTTTGATAATTCAGTAGATGAACATTATCCATTTCACCAGTTTGGACCAAATGTTAGGTCAATACCTGTCCATATAAAAGTTTTTGAAAAAACTCCTTCTTTATTATTATTATATTTATTTAATTAATTAATATAATATTAATTAATATATAATTAATTAATATAATATCAATTTGCTAAATCAGCCATTAAAATATTGTTGGTATTTGGTGAGTTTACAACAATTGAACTGCATCAACAAATCCACATGCATCAATCTGTTAAAAAAATTATTTCGATATTTCTTTAATGGTTTTACTTAGTTTAATAAAAATAAACAAAAGTTACTAATAATTTAACCTTTTGTTTCCCATTTAAATTTGATTTAAAATAAGTAAAAAGTTTTTACAAAAAATTTGTTTAACAATAATTTGTTTAACAATAATTAGAAATTCTACTTATTGTAAAACAAATATTTTCTACTTATTGTTCTGAAAATAACATTCTAAAAAGTAAGAATACTGTTAAAAAAAAAAAAAAAAATTTAAGTGTGTAAACAAGCTTATAGTATTCCAGGAATTGGAAAAACTTTTTGATGACACAAAGCAAACTTGTGTATGTTTATGCTTATGTCAGTTATGCTTTGCAAAAAAATTAAAAACCCAAAATTTGTCACATTTCTGGAAAAACTCGTTAAATTTTTTGTTTCAGAGTCAAAAAGTTAGAAAATGGTTATAAAAAAAAATGAAAGAAAAAATAAAGTTAAATAATTTTTTACTGAAATAATGAGGAACAACTGTGTTGTTCTTTTTAGTAAAAAATCATATATCTCTCTCTCTCTATCTCTCTCTCTCTCTCTCTCTCTCTCTCTCTCTCTATATATATATATATATATATATTATATATATATATATATATATATATATATATATATATATATATATATATATTATATATATATATATACATATGATAAGTGAAATTAGATATATACATTAGATAAGTGAAAACACTTATCTAATTTTTTGTCTTCAGCAATTTGTTTCTTGATCAGTAGGTTCATCAGGAAGAACATACTGATGAACATACTTGTGGAGAAACAAATTGTTGAATTACTCTGTTTTTTAAGAACATTAAGCACTCTGTTTATAGAACACACTACCATAGTTTATATATATATATATATATATATATATATATATATATATATATAATATATATATATATATATATATATATATATATATATATATATATATATATATATATATATATATTATATATATATATATATATATATATATATATATATAAAATGATATTTATGTATGTGCAACTTTAAATAATTTTCTAGAAGCATTCCTTGAACCTGACAGTGATGATGAATTTCATTATGAAAAGATCTCAATTGAAGATAATCTTTCTATTGATGGTAAGTTCTTTTATCTATGCATTTGTTATTAAATTACTATGCACACTAGAATCCACAGTATGCCAATATTAGTTTTGTGTTCTGTAATTATATAAATACATTTTATTTGAGTAATTTATAGATTATAAAATTCTCTTGATCTATGGCTGACTTGCTGTGGCTGAAAGATTTTATTGTGCATTAGATGCAGAACCCGTACTAAGGGCAAGGCCAGTCAGGCCAAGACCTGAGGCGCAAAGTTTAGAAGGGCACAAAATTCCCCAAAAAATAAATCTCGTTTACTGAAAAGAAGAGCACCCTTTAGCACTTACATAGTTAATATATTTTTATAAAATTATTTTATTATGGAGAATATTCAATGCTATTTTTATTTATATTTGTTATACTTTGAGGCTATATGGAATATCCCATCATCACCCAATACTATTAAAATATTTTTACAAAATCTTTAAAAAAAAAAAAAATTGTTAAACATTACTACATTAGCATCATTTTTTAACGAATTGTTGATGTTCAACTTGTGGACAACAAGATTCAATAATGAACCCCACGAAAAAATTATTTGGCTCTCAATTTAAGAAGAAAAGAAAACAGCACCTAGAAAGTGATGAGAAGCTACAAAATTATTTCAATTGCGGTGGAAAAACAAATTAATTCAGATGATATTTGTGTTGAAATTTAGTTTTTCAAATAGCTCAACTTTTTGTGGTTCAATTTTTGTAAAATTAATGATTTAAGTTCAGATCATCATTTGCAGTCTTCTCTGTTTAAAATTTACCGCCAGAGCACAAAAAAGCGCTGGCTGGTTAGTAATTATTTCTCTAGCGTGTGCGAATTTGATTTAGAAAAAAGATTTGTTGTAATTTAAAGCAAACTTGTGTATGTTTATGCTTATGTCAATTATGCTTTGCAAAAAAGTTAATCAGATCCTGCAAACAAACAAAAAAAACCCAAAGCGCGAAAGCGCTTGTCAAACGGAGAAGACTGCATTTGGAATTACTTGAAGAGGAGATTTTCATTAGCCAAAAACTTAACCGCAAGAATTCCTGAACATGAAAGTAGAAATGAACACCAAAGATGCAAAATTCTCAAAAAAAACCTTGAAGAAGGAAAGTGAAAAAGTGGAGAGACAACTTGAATATGATTGTTGATGCAATTTTGTTCTGTGTAAAGAACAGTCTCACCCTTCAGGGCACCCTAGACATCATCAGTCAACAAAACAGTGGAATTTTTCTGAACTTGATTGAGTTGATAAGCCATTATTATCTTCTTCAAAGAAAACCACAACATTCTACTTTTCTCCTCAAATTCAAAATGAGCTGATTGAATTAATCAGGCAGAAAGTCAGAAATTAAATATTGTCAAACAACAAAGAAGCTAAATACTACTCTGAACTGTTTGACTGCACTACAGATGCCTCCCACAAGGAGCAGATGACCCAAATAATCAAGTATGTCTACAATAATGATGAAACTTGTTCAATTGAGGAAAGATTTGTGGACTTCATTGAATCTCACCAAAAACCAGAGAAAGTCTTGCAACAGAGACAACTGAAAAATTAAAGAAGTGTGTCTAATTATCTAGAACAATGGAGCCAATATGTCTGGAAAATACAATGGTTTCTAAGGTTACATTCGTTCTTTTTATGATTCAGCAAAATTTGTTCCATATGCATAAAAACTTTAAAAAATTTACCCCAACTGACATTTTGCAGCTCATTATAAATATTCATTATGTGATGCTTATCCCCTAAGCTTGCTTCTCTTTATCATGCTCACCATTTTCTTACTCCTGGTTCCATTTTCTACCTCTACAAATCTCTTATTCGTCCCTGTATGGAATACTGTTGTCATATTTGGGCTGGTTCTTCAAATGATGCTCTTTCTTTTCTAGACAAGGTCTAGAAGAGATATAGTTGAACCCGCTTTATCTGTGAAGCTTGAGCCTTATTCCCATCATCATAAGGTTGCATCTCTTTCTCTTTTCTGCAAATACTATTATGGTCGCTGCTCAAAGGAACTATCATCTCTAGTTCCATCAGCTAAAACTCATTCTCACTTGACTCTTCATTCAGCAAAGTCTCATTTGTTTACTGTATCTGTCCCTGCATGCACTAAAAAATTTTATTCGCCTAGTTTTTTCCCCTGCACCCCTTCTACCCTTTGTACTTTTTCCCATTTTCATGTTTTCCTGACTTATACAATCTACAACTTTTCAATCTTCTATCAACCTTTTTCTAGCTCTATAACTCTTTTTTTTTTCCTAGTAACTCCAAACTTAATAGTAGTCGCTTGTTGGAAGTGAATCAGAATAAAAAAAATTATAACATTTTCTCTTGCTTTACTTTGTTTTCAAAGTCGGATAGCGATTATAAACATGAAATCCATGGAGAATATTAAATCAAAATTTAAATAATTTTTAATTTTTTAATTTCCATTTCTGAATTATTTTTTTATTATTGAATTTTTAAAGAAATTTATCTATACTTTTTAAGGTTTAACTGATGAAGATTTTGATGCTGCAGTTAAAATTGTTAAAGAAAATGAAAGTGTCCCGCTAATTCAGGTAAAAAGTATTAAAAGTTATTTCCTAATTTTATACCTAATGTTACATTTAATTGTTTATTAATGTTATGTTTTTTTCAAGTTTAGAATCAACCAGATGAAGTTTTATCAAAAACACAAAAAGTTATAATTTTTTAAAAATTTATTTTTGCAAATATTCAAAAAGTTTTTCGAAGGTTTTTTACATAAACTTTATGAAATGTTATATACTACTTATATTTAGTATATTTTAAAGATATTTTTTAAGATTAAAATAATTATACAAGTTTCTTGGGTAATTACCACCTTGTGGCTCAAGTTTAAATTTTAAGTTTTTGTAAAGAGTTTTATTCTTTGTATAGAGGCATGAAGTACCTGAGGATTATGTGCGTAATTTTTTGGTTCGATTCAATATGATAAAAACTCTTGATTGCTTTCAAACAGAATGGTAAATGATTATTTTTTTTGATTATGTTTTCTATTGCTTTAAAATATTTTTAATTTTAATAATAGCTTTATAACTAATATTACAGTTACAGAAAACTATTATCAAAATGATGATGAAAGAGTCACTACATTTGAGAAAGCTACTCATTTAATTTTTAATGTTGTTAAAACCTCTTAAGTCAAATCTATAATTCTGAAAGATGGACTTTGAATAGTTATGCTGCTCCACATAAAGCAAGTTTAGCACAGTTTTACCAGGGAATAGCAATGCTGCAACACATAAACAAGTTCAGCACAGTTTAACATGGAACAAGGTTTTGAACTCTTTTTCTTAAGAAAACACTCTGCTACTTTACCAAAAATGCAATAGTAGAGTGTTTGCTCGAGTTACAGTATCCAGTTACAGTTAGAAGTATAAAGTAAAAACTTTATGCTAAAGTTACTAGGAGAAAAGGGCTCTGAATTATGAAGAATCTTTTCAAGTTATAATATAATGTCGTACTTGAGGTTTTGCCTGAAGTCTGCTTATATAGCTTTTTTTTATTACATAGAATGTACAAATGTACTTATACAAATTTTTTATTCATTATTTTATTTTGATTTACTTAAAATATTCCAAAAGCATTTTAAAATTTTTTGATAATTTTGTCTTTTAATTAAGGTATGAGTTTAAAGAGAAAGGTTTATTGAAAGAAGAAGACTGTAGCAATGTACCTGATATTTATAGCAGGTGTTCGTTCATATGAAGAATTTTTTTGTTTGTTTTGGGTTGTCCATAAATTACGTCACACTTAGGGGTAGGGGAGGCAACTTTGTGACAATTTGTTACAGGGGGGAGGGGGTCTCGATTTTGTGATGCAACATTTTTTTTTTTATGGAGAAGACGCTCTTTTAATTAAAAGAGTATCTTACCTAACCAAAACCCTCAGTTGATGTATCTACATGTTGATTGTAATATTAACTATGCGTAAATCTTACTTAGTCGATGTGTACATTCCGTTACAGTCTCTTAACGGTTACAGCCTGTTAACAGACTGTTATGGCTGTTTAAAATTGTTTTGTATTTTGTAAAATTTTGCACCCCCTCCCATCTTGGGGGAAATTGTAGCGAAATAATAGGGAGGGGGTCAATAAAGTGTTACGGATGCGTTACAAGGAGCGGAGGGGGTCAAAAATGTCAAAAACTGCGTGACATAATTTATGGAAGACCCCTTTACTGCTGTGTACTTTCTGATGTTTTTTACTTATTTTTTTTGTTTTTGTTTTTTAGAAATAGACAGTTAGATGAATTAGTCAATTCTCTCAGGAAGGAGTTAAAGAACTACAAAGATTTAACAAGGTAATTTATTAAAATTTTAAAGTGTGTTATTAAATTAATAAAGTTAATAGTTAAACTGAGTCAAAAGTTTGGATATGTTATTCATACTGAATAATAAAATAGAGATTAAATATAAAACCCAACTCCTCTGCCCCCTAAAAAAATGTATATAGAGATGGTTGTACCAAATATAAGATAAATCTTTAATAGTTTTTCGATTTGTAGTTGTCTGCTATCTAACCTCTCTATGTCTGTTGCCAGAACTGATAGGTCTTAGCTATTGCACTGTTTTCATCAAATTTTTTTTTCAATTTTAATATATTTTTATGTTGTCCTTTTTTGTGTTGTTATTCTTTAAATTATTTAATATTATTAACGGCACAACTTTATAAACTAATTAATAATTTATAAAGTTGTTTTCAAGTATTTAAAGCAATTTTTTTATAATAATTATTTTTAAAAGAGTTCTTTGTTTTAAAAAAGTAAAGCAAAGGATATACATTTAAAATTGCGAAAAGAACGAGATTTCCATCGGTTACACCACAAAAGAGTTGTGCAAGAAAAAGAAAAACTATTATCTGATATAAAAAGGTAAAGCTAGTAATTGTGATTCTAACACTTTTTTTATTTTTATTATGTTATTTAAATACTTTATATGAATATATATATATATATATATATATATATATATATATTATATATATATATATATATATATATATATATATGTTTCAAAAATGGCGCTACTAAGTACAAAAAATTTAAAGGTCTTTTGATCCACATATATTGGAACCAAATTAAATTTACCCACCTACTTTAAGTTAAAAATTCATTCTTTAATTATCAAGTCAGAAATTAATATTTTTTCAGATTAAAAGAACACTATGATTCATATGAGCCTCTATTAAAATCGTTGCAGCAAAAATATGAGGCAATTAATTTTTTTGGTTTTTATTTTTATTACAACACCCATAACTTTTTTTTTTATATATACTTTTTTATTATATTTAGTTAAATTTTTTTAATAAACTCTGATAAAAGTTATTAAAATGAAAATTGTTACATATTTGCGTACAAATAAAATAATGAGTTTAAATTTAGACTGCAATGAGAGAAAAAATGCTAACAAAATTGGAACGAGATCGTGCAGTCAATCAAGTACCTAGCACTTTTATGTTGTTGTTGTTTTTTGTTTTTTTTTTCTTTTTTTT